AATCGCGGTGCCGATCCTCGTGTCATTAGAGGCAACCGGTGTCTACACACGAGAGCTCAGACACGAGCTTCTTTTCTCAACTATAAGCAAATTCTTCATCCATTTTGTCTACTCGGAATCTACTAGGGGGTGTCTGAGTAAACGAAAAACTAAAAATAGCACGTGTGGTTTTGGCGCCAAATGGCATGTGATTTCGCGGCCAAATAGCACGCTTTCTGAAATCACCCACCTCAGGAGGTGGGTGATTTGGAATTGGCGCGAAATCACAAGAAGCAGAAGAAATACCACGCCCCGCGGCATCCACGGTGGTGCTCCAGATACGACGCAGAGCGCCTCTACCGTGACCAAGGGGTAGCCTCGACGAAGGGCTAAGGCCCAGACGCCCGTCCATACCTCCAAAAATGCTAATGCAGAGACCAGGATAGATCGGCCACCCACGTCGGTGGCCATACCTTCGTCAATTTTACGAGTTTGAGCCTGCCATTTAGATATGTTTTATAGCTAATTCAGAATAAGGCGGTGTTTGTGCTAACAATCTGGATTTAGCAGTCTATCAGGTGGCTAGCAAACAGAGCATCGCATTTGGCACTGCGCCAGATTAGATCGGCCACCCCCATCTTTACTAAAATTAAGTATAGTTGTATCAAAAAGATTGACGCTCAGTAATGTGTCCTGTTTCCTTTCCTATGAACCACGTTTACGCATCGACGCGGCAAGGACTCGATAAGCGACTCGAGTAGAGCGATGGGGTTGATTCTCACGCTTCGAAAAGCCCAGCAGTAAGGTCTGCTACGCTTTCAAACTGGTTGCCATTATTATAATCTCTTCTACCCGTTTTGAACCACACGTTTTCTATGCGGTTCAGATGTGGGGACTTGGACGGCCAGTCTAAAACATCAACATTTTGCTCTTGAAAAAACTCCTTTGTGCGCATTGATGCATGAATACTTGCGTTGTCTTGCTGATAGATGTAATCTGTACCGTAGTTTAAATGCGCGAAGGGGAGGAG